TACGACTTGGCGCCTACTTAGCAAAACGTTTTTGTTTTTTTTTTCACGAATTATTTTCAAATCTTAGTCGTAAACAAATGGCCGCAAACATTTTTTATTGCGAAAAAATTTTGTTTTTTTTTTTAATAATAAAAATTAAATTCTAATTTCTTCGTCCAGAAATCATATGAGTAAACGAATTAAATATATATATTTATGCATCCATGAAAAAATTAAAAAAACAAATGCTTCAATTTCAACTAAATATCGAATTTGTGATAGAATCTTGAATTGTAGTGATAAATGACAAATATATTCTGCAATTAAAAACCAGTAAGGAAAATAGTAAAGTCAGACAGGGCCGACTTTGGGTATATTCACAATATGTATCCTAAAAGACGTCGCCTTTTTGAAGGAACATTAACATGCAATGTTCCTTCAACCTACGTACTGTTTAAAATTTAAACTCAATCAGACACCCATTGATTATTTGGTGTACAATTAACATGAATAAGTCAAAATTATATATGGATTACTATATCTATATCTGAACATGCCAGCGATTAATTTTTATTCATTTGAGTACGTGTGTGTCAATCGGCTTAGCTATGGATCTTAAGTGCAGCATACTTAAAATCGGACGAAAATATATATAGGAGCTATGTCTACATCTGAACCGAATTTCACGAAACTTAGCACACGCCATTCTGCACATATTTCAGTATCTCATGATTTTCAGGGACTTTGGTGCACCATTTACCTAAAATCGGGCGAAACTATATATGGGAGCTATATCTAAATCGGAACCGATTTTCACGAAAATTAGCACACATCATTCTAGAGTTAATTCAGTACGCTTGCCAATATTCGTGCAAATTGAATAATTTTGAGGGACTTGGTGCACCATTTACCTAAAATCGGTCGAAACTATATATGGGACCTACATCTACATTGGAACCGATTTTCACGTAACTTAGCACACATCATTCTAGAGTTAATTCAGTACGCTGTGCCAAAATTTGTGCAAATTGAATGATTTTCAGGGACTTTGGTGCGCCATTACCTAATATCGGGCGAAACTATATATGGGAGCTATATCTAAATCGGAATCGATTTTCACGAAAATTAGGACACGTCATTCAAGAGTTAAGTCAGTACTCTGTGCCAAAATTCGTGCAAATTGAATGAATTTGGTGCACCATTTACATAAAATCGGGCGAAACTATATATGGGAGCTATATCTAAATCTTATCCGATTTTCTCGAAACTTGGCACACATGATTCTGGACCTAGTTCAGTACACTATGTCAAAATTCTTGCAAATTGAATGATTTTCAGGGACTTTGGTGCTCAATTTACCAAAAATCAGACGAAAATATATATGGGAGCTATATCTAAATCTGAACCGATTTTCTCCAATTTCAATAGAGTTCCTCCTTGGGCCAAATAAGTGAACTGTGCCAAATTTCATCCAAATCGGATTATAAATGCGACCAGTACTTTGTTTACAATTTAACATCAACAGACGGACGGACGGATATGCATAAATCGACTCAGAATGTGATTCTATGCATATTCTCAAAAGGAACCATGGGTCTATCTCTATTCCTTTTGCCTGTTACAGACATATGCACAAAGACATAATACTCTGTACCACAGTGTGGTGAAGGGTGTAAAAAAACGCCGGAAAAATAGTGGCCATAAAAGTGTGAAAAATACTTTGAGATTTTTTACTGGAAATTTTAAATTTTGATTTTTTTTCTTTTTCCAAATTTCGAATATATTTTGTTGGCAATGCTGCAGGGTCATATTGAGTGTGTTTAAAGTATCGCAAGAGATATGACGAAGAAAAAAATAACTTAATTGAATTATTGTTTTTTTTATTACTACTTTCAATCAATGATCAGAAGGCCAATTAGGTCGTGTGACAATTAAATTTCGTAGCTGCTGATATATTTGTTCATTTGCAATCTGTTGAGAGAAAATACGATATGTTTGTGCCGTTGCTTTTAGTTTGTAAGATACATGATCACATAGTTGTTATTGGCATAACCCAGCATAAAATGTTAGTTTGTGTTCAGTGTCTGATGAGTTTTTCCCAAGATAAGATTAATTCGAGTCGAAAAAACGCACGAATCATTGGAATTTATTTTATTTATAACCATTTGTAATAATTTTGAAGCCTTTCAATCCCTGTGGGAGGATCTCTATTTTACAGCATGACTTGTATAGGGTTATACATTTTGTGGTTTCAAAAGTAAATGTAAATGTTGCATTCATAAAAAATTACTTTCAGGATATATATATATTTTATTATAATGATTGAACTTTGGCATTATGTGTGAATACTGCAAGTTGCAAACATTGATTTTGGGGTCAATTCCGGCCACTTTTTGCATTAATTTGACTAATTTTATTTTTCAAATACTCAAGAGTTGAACGTTTATCTGCAAAAACACGGTCTTTCACGTAGGCCCATAAAAAAGTCGAAACTTGTCAAATGGTATGGTCTTGGTAGCCGGATAATTTCGCCACGACGAGCAATTACGCGGCCAGGAAATGTCTCCCGCAATATTCGCTCGAGTTGTGTGGCATGTGGCACCGTCTTGTTGCAGACAAAAACAGACGGTTTTGGCTATAACGTTTATGGCTATAACGCTCCAAATTGACGGCGGCAATCGTTTCGAAGAAGTAATGTCCAATCACACTCAATAGGTTCACCCAAACCCAAATTTGGCACCATTTAGGACACAATAGTACTTTCTACATTGACCCTAACTCCAAATTTGAGGATTGTGGATGAAATGATAGAGTTCACCCACAATTCAAATTCTACCAAATTTACTACACAAAAAGTACGAATTCACATGCCTCAATTCTACACTCATATCATAATTTAAAATCTTTACTATTCCAGCTCTAAATCCGAATTGTAACGAATTCAGTACAATTTAGTTCCCATAAGTACAAGCTTCCAAAACTACATCCATACCCCCAATCTTACACTCCAACAATAATATTTCCAAATTTCACTCTTCTCTATCGGTTCATATAAATCCAAATTGTACCAAATTTAATACCATTCACCAACAGAATCTTAACTCCAAATTTCAGGATTCTAGCTCTATTGGTTCGCCCACAATGAAATTGTACCAAATTTAGTACACATAAATTTGGTACAATTTCAAATCCAAATTGTACCAAATATAGTACCATTCAGAACCTTTCGCTTTATAGCTGTCCTACACTCCGATGGTAATGTTATTTTAAAATTTCAGGATTCAAGCTTCATATGTTTCTCCAAATTCAAATTGTAACAAATTTAGTACAGTTTAGTACTTTTCGTATACATGAGTACACGCTTTCAAAACCACCTCCTTATATCGATCCTACTTCTCAACCTAAATCTACACCCACACTTCACATTTAAGAGTTCTACCTCTACTGGTTCGCCAAATACAAATTTCCGAAAACAGAGCCTTCCGAGGTCATTTAGATTTTAGAATTAAATTACCAAAAATTTTTCCGATTTTTGGATCAATTGTACGTCAAACAGCACGGATCAAATAGTGTCCTGAATATCAAACGAATTCGATTTGAATTTGATTACTTGAATGTTCCGTTCGAAATTTATTTGTACAAAAATTCAGATTATCTGGACTCAATGTTTTTTTTTTTTTGCGTTTTACAATGTTGTTATTTTTGGTGGGTTAGTGGCATAAAATAGTAAAATATCGAGTTCACGCAAAATCACATGTTCTGTACTAGAAAAAAGAGGCTGTCATTCAACCACTCATTGTGGAATAAAAATATTGATGGAATTTATTGCAGCTATTACATCATTTCGTCCAGAGTCCATTGTAAAACAGGAAACTGTTTAAACATCAATCACATGTGTCTAAAAATAACACATTAACGGCATTCAAGGAATGTGATGTAAAGGACATCAGGTTTTCTTTGTTACCAAGTTAATGGGCAAAAAATGTGTTACCAATTTTAGAGGCACTGCCTGCCATGCCATGTCGACACCATTAATCTTGATGCACTATTTGTGCATGGGATTGCTACTTCGGCCATTAACCATCCATCTCGTATATATCACATCACATCAAATGGCTCATCACTTTGGACAGTAGACAAATGATTCTGATGGCGACGACGCGATGCAATGATGTTGTTATCGCCAGATCGGTTTGTTTATGATTCTATCACATCCTAAACAATTTGCACTGTCTCGTCGTATCCCATTTCCCATATGAATTATACATCAAGTGAAAATGCTTATGGCCAACGAACCATGTGGCCAGTGGCATCCTTGCACCAGACACAATTTAATTATACACTGACCAGGCGCCACATAATGACATGATCTGATCACATATTGCTCGAGTCGAGAGTAGCAATTCTTTAAACTGGAGTTTGGTGACAGTGAACGTTTAAACGAAGACGTGTTAGAATTTATGTACACACATACACACACATATATTTATGTATGTCCGTTGCACATGCGCCAAACGAAAAACATTCCATTTATAGAAAATTTATTCGTTTCTAATTCTATTTTTATACCAAAATGTCAGACTGGCTCCTTCCGTTGCGTTAGACGACGACGACGACGGCAGTATAATATATCAATTTGTTATCGTCGACACATGATGATGATTATAATTAGTATATAGATTTAACACCGTTCCTGCATTTTATAGCTTTCTTAATGGGAAGAGGTTGAACGACTTTTTTATTTAAATATAATTTTTGAAACGCCACATATATATGCAGAAGGTCCAATAAAAAGAGACAAACATGTTTCCAATAAGTTTTTATTTGATATGGTATGAAAACGAAATTGTGGTCCAACCCCATAATAAGAACCCCAAATACCTAATTTGTTACAAAATTAAAATTAAATATAAAACTGTATGAAATATACAAACATATAGTAGTTTTATATCATACCATATCTATTTTGCATTTAACCACTTCATATAAACTAAACGACATTTATTGTTTTTCAATTGCAGATCGGTTCCGGAATTACCATTTCGAGGGTTATCGAATGTTGAATATTTGGGCATAGGCGACAACGAACTCGAGGAAGTACCCAAACATATGCTAAATCATATGCCGGTGGTGAAAACACTCGATATTGGAAGGTGTCGCATACGATCCGTGCTGCAAGACGATTTCAAGGGCGTACAAATGCTTACGAATCTCTTTATGCCCAGCAACAATATAACGCGCCTCGATCGCAATACATTCCCCCCCAACCTGGTAACATTGCATTTAGGTCGCAATCAAATTGAAAATCTCAACGGGACGTTACGACACCTGAACAAACTGGAATCACTGTTTATCAATATGAATCGCATAAAGAGTTTGGATGATGAATTACCCGAGTCGAATCGCTTGAAATTGATAATTGCTCAAAATAATCGCATTGAACGTTTACCGGAAAGTATGCGTAATCTGCATAAGCTCGAAACTCTATACATACAACAGAATCGTATTCAAAGCTTGGATCTTGTCCTCAAGAATGCCTATAATCTAAACGAGTTGTATGCCTCCAATAATCGCATCGAATTGCTGGCCAATGATGAATTCCAATATGCCACCCAATTGGAAGAGTTGTATATGTGCAGCAATCAAATCAAATCCTTGAACGGTTCTTTGTTGCCACTGAAAAAATTGTATAAGGCGAATTTTTCATTCAATGCCATCGAAGAGTTTTCCATGGATGAAATACGCGGTCTTTTAGCCCTGAAGCAATTGGATTTATCCAATAATCGCATACGGAAATTATCCGGCAGTCAGGGCAATAACATTGACAAGAGTTCGTATTTACTTGATTTATATTTGGATTACAACGAATTGACAACATTGGATGGTGCCCTGATGGGTTTAAATAGTTTACGGATTCTGCGTTTGACCCATAATAAATTGGAACGTATATTACCCGAGGATTTTATTGGCCTGGAGAAATTGGAAATATTGGAACTGTCTCATAATCGTCTAGTGACGTTGCGGGAAATGCAAACGGTAAGTTTAAAAACACAATTACCCCCCAATTCAACGTGATAAATTATCCTTACATCCCTATTATCGTTTACAGACAGTGCTACCGAGTTTGAAAATACTCAAGGTGGACTTCAACAATTTGACGATACTTGATAAGGATTTCCATGGTTTACCGGTATTGTGTCAAGCAAATTTGACACACAATCAAATTATTTCCATTTCCCGTGAATTGGTGGCCAAAACCAGTTGTGTCAATCACAATGTACCAGGACGTTTGGAATTGTATCTTGAAGGTAATTTTCAATGACTTATGGTATTCTAAATAAAATAAATTCTTAAATTTTGTATTTCCTTCGCTTGTAGATAATCCATTTAGCTGTAATATGTTATTAGATGAATATTGCCCATTGATGAAGAATACCGAGAAACAGTTGAGACTACGCACAAAATGTTTTGAAGCTTACGAAGAAGTCTGCCAGAGCCGCCAATATATTTTGATGTTGCCCAGTGTGAATTTGAGCCAACAACAAGTGATACCGGTAATTGTGCCATCTACGGAGCTTCTGAAAAAAGCCGATAATTTGCTGCCACCACTATTTGCACCATTGGCAGGGGGTGCTGCCAATATTAAGCCTTTAATAATTACACCAGCTATAAAAATAGTTGAAGCGCCGGTCATATCAATTCCATTGACCACAACAAGTACTACCACCACGACCACAACAACAACGACGCCGGCTCCAACCACAACAACAACAAGTACTATTGCCACTACCACTGCAGACACAACTAATTACCCCCTAAATGCTGCAATGCCGAGATCTACTCAAGTAGAACAAATGAACGAGACAAATGATAATGAAACGCAAAATCCAACAATTGAACTTACCAATCATCGTGACAAGCCATCACTTACGGGTAATGACCAACTAACAACCACTGCAACAACTCAAATGCCAACACTTAATCTTACCTCATCAGTAGATGAGGTTGCAGCAGAATTACCTCATGATTCTGTTGTTACACAAAACCCAGCAATATTGGTTGTGAATATTGACAATGCAGCCGTCTCAGATGTACTCCACTCTAATCCTGTGGCAGAATCGAAATATTCAACCGTTGAATATATACCAAATCTTGAAAAAATCGGTGATCCCCTTGAAGCAGAGTCACCACAACAACCACCGCCGGAAGTCCTCATCGAAGAGGATTCCAAATCGAATGCGATACATGAGGAGTATCACAACAATGTTATGACAGACTATGGAAGTGCACCACAAAATTTACTACAGCCGGATGAGCCGCCTGAAAATCCATAAAAATCTATTGATTAATAAATTAATTGATATTAACATTAATAATAATGCATCATGTTTATTACTATAATATAAAAATATTACACATACTATAATTAACAACAAGAAATAGTTTAAGTTTTATTAATATTGTGCATAAATTAATGTATTTGCCGAAAATATGTACGCGCGTATAGGTAATCTTGAAGCCCATTCTGTTTCCATTCTAACGAGCATTCCTCCGCAGATCGCGATGGTGATAGCATGTGATTATAAGGAAGATGAGGAAGTAAATACAGCCGTAAAAATTAAAAACCACTTGCTTTTTATATAACAAAACATACACACAAACACACCTACTGACACACTAACTACCTTTCAACTACAAACATAACATATGATTTATATTTTTTGTTTAAACTGCAACTAAAGAAAGCTCCTTTGTAAGTTTTATATGGTTTTTTAATTTAATTATGTCTTTTGCTTTGTTTTTAAGTTTAGTTTAGATGCCTTTTTATATAATTTTATTCTATATACGAAAACATACACACACATCATATTTAACATAATAGCGTACATACTATATTCTTCATCAATATATAGCTGGTAAGAAATTAAAAATGAGTATGAAGAAGAATCCATACTAAAACGATGATATACACACATACATACAACAACATACCCATTGTATATAGAATAGTAAAGATTAATTAAATTAAACTTAGCTCTCAAATTTTGGAAAATTGTTTTAATTTTGTGAGTGTATTAAGTATTTGGGGATGGGTAAGTTTTACGATAATATGTATTGTAGCTATTTCAATGTCAAAATATTTATCTTACGTGCCATGCTATCATAACTTTGATGTGTCAAATTTCAGACAATTTAAATTAATATAATATAAAGAAATTTAAAACATGCTAAGTCGACTTAGCATACTATGGTTCGGAGGTGTCGATATGTATTGTAGCTATTTCAATGGCAAAATATTTATTCATCAGATGTGTCAAATTTTATAACATAATATTAGCGGATGTTAAGTTCGTCAGGGCGAGCTTTTTATATCCTCCACCATGAGGTGGACATTCAAAATACCTAAAATCGATCGAAACATTTATGTGGGGGCTATGTCAAGGTAAATTTCTGCCGGTAAAACTGAAATGCCAAACTACTGTCACTTGGACTGGAAACGTACCCTGGTGTTCAACATACGGCTGGAAAATGCGCAATCAAATTACCAATAAAGGGGCTGGTATTCAAACGACATTTAAAATTTAAAATGATGATGATTTACTATATGGATTACAAAACATGTACGTGTTTCTTAAAATATTAGGGGTATCAAATTTTGGGACCTATACTTGATCATATTGGTAATTTTTAGAAAGCAAGAAGCAAGTGCTGACAAACATAATGAATTGAGAGTCATCCAATTTTGTTGAAAAACATGTAACCTTTTTTTCCAAAATACTACATATTGGTTGTTTTCAAAACTAAACGCCCAAGAAAATCTTTAAAGCTCTACTTTTTAAATATTGTCAATATGTTGGCTACTTATCGTGGGAGGTACCAGAATGGTTGCACCGATAAAGTCCATATTCAGACATAATCAAGGTTTGCAATAATTTGATTGTAGTCACACAATATTAAATATACTAATAAAGATTTTCATTGCTTACCGGTATTGTTTCGGAATAGCTCCCGTATTTGGCAAACACAAACAATTTTCCAATTCAATATTCCAAAAACGTTTCAGAAATGGCGGCGATGAAAATAGTTTTATCAAATATTGAAATAATTGATGACAATTTAGTACGTCTCATTTGCCTATCCAAATTGTTGAGAATCGGTTAAGATATAGGTATAGCTCCCGTATACAAGATGGTGCGCCTACGACCCGAATAGAGTCTACAAAAACATTCCATGGGATAAAGGCTTGCGATGAAAATAATGTGTGTTTTGTTAAAAACCTCTCAAATATTGAAATATTTGAACAAAAGACATAACTTTTGTATGATTTTAAAATTTGTAGGTAACGTCCATATATAATTACAAAAGATTCCTTGTTAATATGTAGCAAAATAGTGTGTCACTTTTTCAAAAGATATGTGCTACCTTTTGAAACATTTCTCCGGGAGACAGAAAAGATGCCGATTCACTGGATACAAAACACCAGGATATATCCCAGTGATTTTAACAATAATATTAAAATATAACAGTTTAAATAGAACACACATTTTATTCAAAATAACGAAAAACAAACCTATGAAAATTCTTTGATATTGTCAAGTTGTTTTCATAGCATTCAGCTTGCAAATATGCCATACATTGCCAAATGTATGATTGAGTTGCCAACACAATATAATAGAATATAAATTGTCACGCCAATACATCAAAACCAATGTGTATTTTGTGAATTAATTTAAAGAATATATTAAAGCAACTTTTTCTTTGTACCATGGTATAACGATACAAGGTAGTCTAATGCAGTCATATGTTCAGCTTTCAAAATTTAAATGAAAATATCTTCCTTCAAAATGTACGCATATCATGTGTTCAGTGGCAAAAATTGCTAAATAATTTATATTTATAAATATTTTGAAGTTCCTTGCTCTAATTCTTATAAATATATGTTGTAACCTACAATAATACAAGGTAGGGCAGCTTGAGGTGAATAACAAAAAAGCAACTATGCACGTGTGGCCTCTTCTGCCAAAAATAAAATAAATATACGCAACAAGTGTTTGTGTTTATTTGACATTTTTTCAACACAAAACTAAAAACGCGAAAAATGAATGAAAGGTTATGATTTCTTCCCAAAATCCAGTAGGGAATACCATAAAATGTTTGTTTCATCCATAACAAAGTAATTACTTCCAGACGAACGTGTTGAAAACTTTATTTTCATTTCAATTAAACTTGAATATATTTTAATTTATTTTCAATTTATTTGACATTGTATTCAAAACAATACACACACATACACAAAATATGTATTTTGATTTAATTGAACAAGCCACCTTGAGAAAAAATTGTAACCAGTTTTAAATCTTGAGAGCAAATTTCAGCTTAAAAAATATATTTTTATATTTTTTATTTTATTATATTTTTATTACATCTTCACACATAAAATTTTATGGAATTTTGTAAAAACAGAATTTATTTTTCGTATTATTTAAAACTGATAGATGAGTTCCAAATAAAAAAGGTTTGCCATAATCAAATTCTCAAATGAGCTTACCTTCTGTAATTATGCCATGCCATAGCATGGTACAATTATAGCTTTTGTCAGAAAGGAGAAAATGCACCTTTACCTTATGGGCAATAATGTCAGAATAAATGAAAACAAATGCAACAAGTCGTTCTGTTCATTCGACATATCTTTAACATTTTGCTAAAAACGCGAAAAATGAATGGAATGTCAGATTTTCTTTTCAAAAATCGAGTTGGAGATATGATTTAAATATTTGGTCTGTTCCCGTACTGCAAGAATCCACGAGTTTTTACTATTTTTTCCGATATCATAAAGGAAAAACGTGTTATCGTAGTAAAAAGTAGTAGATTCTTGCAGTACGGGAACAGACCAATTGATTCATTCACAAATCATACAGTTCTTTTTACAAATGTTCTAAAATTCATCTTCAAACAAATTGATTTTCGAATATATTTTGTTATATTTTTCAAAACGTCACACACACAGTCAGACATTTTGAATATGACTTTGGCATAACAAGCCATAGTAAGAAAAAATGTAATTTACAATTTGCTATGGCCTACCTTGAATAATTGTACCGTGGTAAAACTAAAAAAAAATCCCGACAGATTTTGTAAATTTGTCATTAATATGAACGTTGGTTATGAGCATTTACCGCTTATATGCACTCAAATCTTCAAAAAGCTACATTAAAAAAATTGATTTATATACATAAATTTTTACTATATAAAATTTCAAGTGAAAATCTTAAATTTTTGAAGATATTTGGTCTGCTCCCGTACTGCAAGAATCTACCAAATTTTACTATTTTCTTCGATATCATAAAGGAAAAATTGTTATCGTAGTAAAAAATGGTAGATTCTTGTAGTACGGGAACAGCCAAATTGTCGATTGCTATATAATGTTCCCATCAATTGAAGGTAATACGGCGTTTACATTATAAATTTTTACCGGGTTAACCTACTCTATAAAGATTTATTTGACATAAATACAATGGAATTGATAATTTAAACCCACTGGGTTAACGAAATCCGGTTAAATGTAAACGCCGTATAAGAGTGCTTCTCAAACTTTAAACGTGTGACTAAAAACTAATATTCAATACGTTCCAAATTTTAACACGTTATCGCCGCTGCCCTAAATGGACAAACTATTTATTGTACATTTGTATGCAAGTATATAAAGATTTGTCCACCATAAAAAATAAAAATATAAAATTTTACTTTTAAAAACATATCAATGGGCATGCATAGAAATGTATGTAATTTATTTTTACAAATTGATAGATGGGCTACAAATTTTCAATTTCTCGAATGAGACTACCTCCCATAATTATGTCATGACACAAATGTAATAAAAAAATAAATTATTTTCAATTTGTCTGCCTTGCATGATATATCAATTTTGAAAGGAATATCAGGGTCAAACATGATATTGTACGCCATTCTCCTTTATTATCTAACATTAAAAAACTGCCAAATTAATGACATGCCTGAAGTCCTTTTATGTGTTTTCCCCTTTAATCGGTGTAAACCCTATCATTTTTGAATGACAATCTTGGCCAAATTTTGCTTGTTTGATCGTGTGGCCTCTCATGTTTGTCATTCATCAGGCAACCACAAAAATACTCATGGTTGTTGGACAGTCTGTAATCGATAAAAGAGCCGACAGTCCAAAATGATAGTGTGTACTCGCCTTTAGACTTTACAATCCAAAATGTCGATTAATCGATAAGTCGAAAGTCGATTTACATATCCCTAGTCAATACTTCGAACTTTCCCAACATTGCTGTCATAGAAAAAATTTACTCTAAATTATTAAGAAAACTCTTGAACAACAAATAAAATAAACCATAAAGTGCAATTTTTTTCTAAATTTTTTTCCGGTGAAGACAATAAATTATTTTTGTATTGATTTCTTTATTTTGTAATTGTAACAAGAAAAACACGAAACCAAAAGAAATTTGTATTATTTTCTCGTCTTAAAAACGTCATTCATTCATTGTTCATTGCTTTGGTGCTGTGTCATCAGTGTAAAAGAGAAATATAAAAAAGAGAACTATTGCAGCTAAATAGCAAAGAAAGCGGTTGAAAGATATCAAAAGCGAAGGAGATTTTACAAAGAAAGTTAACAAATTAATATATTTGTGGTGCCGCCGAGATATATTTTACAATAACATTGCGTGGGTTCGCCATATTTTTGTAGTGTGAACTTCGTCGTTTTGTTCGAACAACATATTGTAGTGGTTTGCTGCGACAGATTGCTGCACCACCAGCGCATACATTAAGTACCCGTTTACGTATTTTTCATCATTCCCTAAGATTTGTTGAATATTTTTTTGTTTTTGTGATCCACTGCCGCCCGCCCTACCTCCCAATTCCAGCCAGTCACTTGATCTGATCGTTCCAGCATTGCAAAACACACACAGCTGCTCAGGAGTAGAACAGCTTGTAAGTGTGACACTGCTTTATGTTCTTCATTGCTCACTCATCGTACCTCACCTAGTGCGTGTGTGTGTTTGGACGTTTGTGTCTCGTTCGTTACGTTACGCTTACCGTCATTACCACCATTATCGTTTTGGCTGGTCGCTAGGTAGCTCGCTCGCTAGTCCATTACATTATTCTTGCTCTTCTTATTACTTATTTTTGTTTTCTTCTTTCGCTGTTGCACATTTCACCTCCCCGTTGGATTTGGTTGATTGGGTTCATCAGTCGGCCAGAAACATTACAAAGTTAACAAAAACAATACAGCAACAACAACAAACCAACAGACGAAGATTCCACAAACGACGAGTGTAACGCCCGTAAATTTTTTAATTTTATTTTCATTATAATTTGTTGCCGTTTCTGCTTTTCTGCATACAGGTGAGTCCGAAACAAACAAACAAAAAAAATTGAATATTTTTTATAAATGAAATTCCTTTTTTTCCTTTTTTTAATTTAATTTAATGCAATTGTAGTTTGTATGTACATAGTACGTGGTTTATTGTATATTGAATTGTTGTTGTCTTTAATATTATTTTTACATTATTTTGTTTTTTTTTTGTTTTTCTGTTGTCTCTCTTTTCCAAGTAAACAAGCAGACAATCAACCACCCACCCCTCTTTTAGTCGGTGCATTTGTTGACCAACGGAGCAGCAGGGTTTTTCTGTTTGTGTTTTCCATCTTGTATATGTCTTTATTTTCTTCTCATTCTCGTCTTCACTTTGTTTTGCCTACCCCTCTTGCTCTCCACCAACCTCCCCTTTCTGTCAATATTACTTTGTTTATAAATTTCAGAAAAACCGGAAATATGTTTATTTTATTTTTATACCGAACGACCGACCGGCCGACCGTACGCTCTTGAAAGCTTTCCAATTGCCTTTCTTTGATAGTTTAGTCGATGTGTTTTGGGAGAGTGTGTGTGTGTCATTAGTAAAACTGAATAGAAAGTAGTTGACCATTAGATTTAGCAATTTACTTATTTTTATTTTTGAACATAATACTGGATTCTAAAGAAAGTAGTTTATTTAAATGTATTTTATTATGGCAGCTAAATGTATTTTATTATGGCAGCTAAATAGCAAAGAAAGCGGTTGAAAGATATCAAAAGCGAACGAGATTTTACAAAGAAAGTTAACAAATTAATAAATTTGTGGAGCCGCCGAGATATATTTTACAATAGCTTTGCGTGGGTTCGCCATATTTTTGTAGTGTGAACTTCGTCGTTTTGTTCGAACAACATATTGTAGTGGTTTGCTGCGACAGATTGCTGCACCACCAGCGCATACATTAAGTACCCGTTTACGTATTTTTCATCATTCCCTAAGATTTGTTGAATATTTTTTTGTTTTTGTGATCCACTGCCGCCCGCCCTACCTCCCAATTCCAGCCAGTCACTTGATCTGATCGTTCCAGCATTGCAAAACACACACAGCTGCTCAGGAGTAGAACAGCTTGTAAGTGTGACACTGCTTTATGTTCTTCATTGCTCACTCATCGTACCTCACCTAGTGCGTGTGTGTGTTTGGACGTTTGTGTCTCGTTCGTTACGTTACGCTTACCGTCATTACCACCATTATCGTTTTGGCTGGTCGCTAGGTAGCTCGCTCGCTAGTCCATTACATTATTCTTGCTCTTCTTATTACTTATTTTTGTTTTCTTCTTTCGCTGTTGCACATTTCACCTCCCCGTTGGATTTGGTTGATTGGGTTCATCAGTCGGCCAGAAACATTACAAAGTTAACAAAAACAATACAGCAACAACAACAAACCAACAGACGAAGATTCCACAAACGACGAGTGTAACGCCCGTAAATTTTTTAATTTTATTTTCATTATAATTTGTTGCCGTTTCTGCTTTTCTGCATACAGGTGAGTCCGAAACAAACAAACAAAAAAAATTGAATATTTTTTATAAATGAAATTCCTTTTTTTCCTTTTTTTAATTTAATTTAATGCAATTGTAGTTTGTATGTACATAGTACGTGGTTTATTGTATATTGAATTGTTGTTGTCTTTAATATTATTTTTACATTATTTTGTTTTTTTTTTGTTTTTCTGTTGTCTCTCTTTTCCAAGTAAACAAGCAGACAATCAACCACCCACCCCTCTTTTAGTCGGTGCATTTGTTGACCAACGGAGCAGCAGGGTTTTTCTGTTTGTGTTTTCCATCTTGTATATGTCTTTATTTTCTTCTCATTCTCGTCTTCACTTTGTTTTGCCTACCCCTCTTGCTCTCCACCAACCTCCCCTTTCTGTCAATATTACTTTGTTTATAAATTTCAGAAAAACCGGAAATATGTTTATTTTATTTTTATACCGAACGACCGACCGGCCGACCGTACGCTCTTGAAAGCTTTCCAATTGCCTTTCTTTGATAGTTTAGTCGATGTGTTTTGGGAGAGTGTGTGTGTGTCATTAGTAAAACTGAATAGAAAGTAGTTGACCATTAGATTTAGCAATTTACTTATTTTTATTTTTGAACATAATACTGGATTCTAAAGAAAGTAGTTTATTTAAATGTATTTTATTATGGCATTTTGATGTGGTTGACGTATTATCTTAATTAGATATCACGAAGTTTTAAAAATAAATTTTTAAATATGTATGTAAATATAAAATATGTCATTTCTCTTAAAATTCCAATTCGATATAATGTGATATGAATGAATATAATTGTTTCTCCTCTCAGTTCTGGGAAGTGAAGTCCTGGTAACAAAAACGTAATTTTATTTCCTTTAGATATGGGATTTCAAATTTTCATTGGGACCATTACATAGCTTTTCTTCTTGTGTTACTCTCAGTTTTACGATGTGGAGTCCTGATAACAAAAATGTAATTCTTTTTCGACAAGTCTAAACTTTCTTGGATATGGGCTTTCAAATGTTCACTGGGATCATTATATAGACCTAAATAAAATACATATAAAATCTTTTTAATACAAAAAAAAAAAAATAATAAATAATAATAATAAAATTTAATATAACCTCAAGGTGGAGTGTTTATTAAATTTGCCACCTCGAGATATTCATCTAAGACCCCATAAAGTATATATATATATATATATTCTTGATTAGAATAAAATTCTATGCCGATTTAGCCATGCCCGTTCGTCTGCCTGTTGAAATTCAGATAGAGTTCGCAATATTGAAAATACCTAGAAATTCGGTATTTTGAAGCTTTTGGGCACGTTTTTCAACCTAATCAGCTGTAATTTGGTATATTTGCTTTTCACTGGATGGAAAATCTTCCTACTAAAAATTATCAATATTGGTCATCTTTTTAGGGTAGTCACCATATAAGGGTATCCTTCAATATCCGTTATTTTGAATGTTCTTGGCACGCGTTTCAATATAATAAGTTATAATTTGGTATTTTTGGTTCTCACTGGGTAGAGTATTTTCCTACTAAAAATTATCAATATAGGTCCATGTTTTAGGAGTATCTACCATATGACGGTACCCCCCAAAAATTGGCTATTTTGAATGTTCTAGGCTTTTTCTTCAACCTAATCAGCTGTAATTTGGTATGTTGGCTTTTCATTGGGTAGAAAATATTCATACTAAAAATTATCAATATTGATCCCATGATTAGGGTATTTCCCAGGCTCGTGTTTCAAACAAATTGCCTATAATTTTATATTTTGAATTCTCATTGAGTTTTCGGGTAGCCTTTATATAATTGTGCCACCATTTTTTAAATTTGTTTTTTTAAGGTTCCTCCTACCAAAAACGTATCCCTATATTGCCGTTGATCTGATGATTATGTTCGACAATACAAAACTCTGAATTTTGACTCCCACAACTAGTCTTTGACATGTTTTGGTGTATGTCAAGCGGTATATTTTCTTCGGCAAAGGGAATCATAACAATTTCCAACACATTTTCGTTAACAATCCGACCCATTACTTCATAAATCTTGCAAATATATCGAACTCCATAAAAAGAAAAACAGCCCAATACAATTATTGTTCATTTTTTAATATTTTTAATTTTTGGAATTTTTCACGGTATATCTTTTTTTAAATCTGAATCTTTAATATTAAATTTTAATTCATCCGAGAGCATAATATTTCTCCACTGAGTCGAATTCCAATTAATATGAGCTTTTAAAAAGGCAATCTGGCTTTCCGATTCTTTTCAGAAATAAAAGAACATTCTTGATAGTTTCCGGGCATGTTGGCCTGCTACCATAGCTCGTCCATGCTCTGTTCTTATGGTTATATCCTAAGATAACCGTCTCACAAATTCCGTTGAACTCTTAAATGGGTATTTTTACTGCTATGGCAATTTGTTGATCAGTACGAACTGATGTTCTTTTGCATCCTTTTTCCGTGCTGAATTGTCACTACTGATATAGTTGCATAAAATAAACTTATAATTATTTTCTCAATCACTGGTAATTAGCTGTTCTATCGGAGTGCTGTTGTTTCTAACCATTTTCATATTTTTTGGCAGTAAGTCTAAATTGAAAACCAGGCATATGTTATTGTAATAAAATCCATTTAAAAATGATCTATAAAAATGGAAATAGGTGAAGTTCCGAGTTTTTATACAGCCCTTAAACTACATAGTTGTTAAATCAATTTTCTAAACGGAGTGACTATAATTTATCATTTATCAAGCACCCATTCCATGTACCTCGACGATGTAGGTGTAGATCTTGATGAAAACGAATAGGAATCGACACAATCAGGTTTTGAGCAACACTTTCTCTTACAGCAGCGGAACGAGCGAAACCAAAATGCACAGGCCTTACAATTTTTGGCATCTACAGATCGATTCTCGCCAAATAAATTCGATTGTCTCCATATACTTTATATACGGATGGAAAAAATGTCACTTATTTCCACTCTTCATATATAGACATAGTTATTTAACCAGTTTGGTAGCCTTCACGTTTGCTATGATTTTTGCCTTATCTAGATTTTATTGTATATATTAATAGATCGCCTAGACAAAGAAGCTACATACCCAGGATTGTTTTCCAAGAAAATCTACTCCTTAAACGGAAAGCACGAAGACTGTAAAATCTCCAAACTTGTTATTCATTAATGTATAATTATGTTTTTTTTTTAATAGAAAATCCAAACAATGCCACCTTTATTTTACGATTTAATGAATTGTGCAAAATATTTTTGTCATCCAAAAAAATATACATATTTCTTGATAAGTGTTTAGCAATATAGCAGATTGTATATACTTATTCTAGAACCATTTCGCTCGCTTATCACAAAATCCCAAGAGTTTCTAATGTTTACCTAAACGTTTATCATATAAATATTTTTCGCATTTTTTGTTATTATTTTTTTATTTCTACAAGTGTGTTTTATTTTGATATTTTTTGTAACGTCAGACATAGATCCAAATTGCAGGCAATATAAAACCTAACAGCAATTTCTTTCTTTGTCTTCTTTGTGACAATTTTGTTCACTCAAAAATGCAAAATACTGCCTTTGTGAAATAAATTAATAAATTATACAAACTTTATATCCGCTCTTGTAAAGGAAATAAAAAACAAAACATTGGCTTTTTTCAAATTGCACTTCAGTCATTTAAAAATCTGACAAAAAAAAAAAAAAAATGGCCGGCACAAATTTTGAACTTTATTCATTAATTCATTTTTATTAGATTTTGTTTGTGTATTTTTTATAAAGTGGATCAACTCTTTGCAAAACTCAAACATATGTATATTATATGTGACTTTTGTTTTGAGACCTTGTCATAACTGGTCATTGATCTTTATGCAAATATTTGTGTCATTTAAAAAGTAAAATCCACATACACTCATCTTGAAATACTTTCTTTTATACATTTAAATTATATCCAAAAAATTGCCTTTGTTTTTTATTTAATTTTTTTTAATTTGCATTTGGTTTTTAACGAATTTTATTTGTTTTCTTTTTCTTCTTCGTGTTTTCGTATTTTGACTTTTCATACTTTGTTTTTAGTTCCTCACATGTTTACTACGTATTTTGTTTGTCTGTGAATAAACTGATTTTATTTTTTTTTAGTTTCGTTGATAAGATAAAAAACCCCATACCCCTAGAAATGAAGGTATTTCTAAGATTGAGTCATCACTGCTCTTAATTTGCAATTGTTGTAGTAGTTGTTTTTTTTAATACAAAATTAGTTCACACAACTGCTGCAATAAGTGGTGGGTTATATGAGTACAAACCTATAGAAGGGGAACTTTTTTGTTTTGTTTACGTTCAAGTGTTAATAAAAAGCAGCGAGTTATCAATACTCAATAATTGAAGGTGAATTTGAATAGCAAAACCTTGATATAAAGTGGATAAGGTTCTTAGCTTCAAACATTATGTTTTTCGAATAAAAATGTATATCTATAATGTAGAATAAAAAATCTACAACGTTAATTTTTGTTTTGTTAATGGGAAACCTACAACGCAGCTTATTTCTTTTTTGGAAATAATGTAGTTATCCCATTAGCACTTAAGCAGATATTTTTTTTCATTTGATTAGCAATTGTTTTAGCTCCCAAATGATATGCATACAAGTTTAAACCGGTGTTTAAAACTGGTGTAGAAATTCGTATTATAAACTTAAAATTCGGATCAAATATGTAGAGATGTGGATATGTCTCCCGAAATTTTGATTGATTTTAAGTACTCAAGAGTTGAACATGGTATTCGCTTAGCTCCATAGAAACGTCTAAAGTCATATTCGCTTGAGTTGAGCGGCGTGTGGAACCATTTAATTGAATTCACATATTGGTCAAGTCGTATTATTCAATAACAGGGAAAATAGTTCGTTATCATATGAACATTTTGATTTCATCCAAACTTTGCCTTTCCTTTTGTTTCTTTCATACATAGTTCAAGTTCAAGGATGGGGAATATCGGTCTACTCCAT